ACGAGCTTCTTCAGTGTATCAAGGTAAAACAACACCACTGCTGGAACATTAGCCCTTGTGCCCTCCTCAAATGTATTTATATTTTTTCTGCTGTGAAGTTAAACAACTTCCAACTTGTTCAAAACTACCAAACATTCAATTATTTTCAAGATTGTAACCCTTAAAATGCTAGGTTATTTGTTGAGTGGTGATAAGAGTCTTGGATATGTGTAAGACTAGCAACAAAGTTGATTTGATTGAATTAGGCCATGTTCACACTTGACTTCTGTTTTCAACTGCCAGCGCCTTTTTTACATACAAGCCTATGGAAAAAGGAAAAAGTATGACGCCTTTTTAAAAAGCAGACGCCTTTTCAAAAAGCGCTGCAGCCGACGCCTTTTTCAGTTGAATTATTTCAACTTTTCAGAAAAGTGCTGGGTGACGTCAAGCGCCTTTCTAACAGCTGACCAATCAGGTAGTAGGAGGAGTAGTAACCTACGTCCCTAGCTACCGGTGCCCAAAAAGATGTCATGCACCCAAAAATGGCGAACTTCCACCAGTATGGGTGCATTGCGAGTCTGTTATGGCTCCGTGCATCCTCATCCGTCAACACCCACCGGCTGCATTCTCAGTCTGCAGCACAGAGAGCACAGCCGGACAGCTGGAGTACGGAGAAAAATAATTTCCATGTTAATTTTACAGATTCACTCGCGACAGGACGAGATAATACGATGTACGTGGTATAAAACTCAATACAAACCTTATAAACACACAAACGGTCGTTTTTCTGAACTGTTAAAACAGAGTGTTTTATTCTGAAAATAAACTGGATGATTTAATGTTGTTTCGGTGTCTGACTTCCCGTCCCGTTTGTTCTTTTCTGTCCTAAATTGATGCGTTGTGTTCCGGCCGGCTCCGGCACGGTTGCATCGTAGGCTAGATCCCGTTGTTAAGGTTACAGAACACTTGCACATAAGCGCTCAAAAGGCGCTGAAGGCAGTGCTTTTTTCTGAAAAAAGAAGTCCAGTGTGAACACGGCCTTAGACGTTTATATTTACCCAAAATCTGCAATAAAATCATAAATATTTGTGTTGTAATATTGTGCAGTTTTTCTGCTCTTTTATGGCTTTTGACGGTAGAGGGAAAGAGCTCGCGCGAGAGTTCTCCCTCGCCCCCGGGGTGTGTGAGAGACAGAGAGCTTTGGGAGAAATCTCGTGCAAAGTTGAGTCATGAAGTGGGGATAAGTCAAATTGGCAGGAAAAGTATTTTCAGAGCATCATGTTTCTTGTTTCAGCACCAGCCATTGGATAATTATTATCGCACAAATTAGGACGGTGATATATTTCTCTATCCATATTTAGTACCACTTTTAGTTTACAAGTTTTATTTAAGAAAGGGAGATAATGCCTTGTGGTGGTGTATCCATGAATTAAACTGTATTGGAAGATATCCTTGGTGCCATTTTTTACCTTTATCACTGATGTTTTTGGCTGTAATCCATTTTTATTGAACTGACTTTGACAGGGAAGTTCATTGAGTGTGAGGTGTACGGAGTGTGGCGTGTTATCGTGACTTTTTGTTTTTACAGTGCACTCTCACTGCAGGACGTAGTGTATACGTTTACTGTCTGTACCTGCACTGCAAGCTACCACATGCTAACCGCCAGAGTTTGTCACCTGCCTATCCAACAGAAAGAAGGTCAAATCGGCATCCGCGGGCAGAAGTCAACAAAAGCCAAGTGTCATTGGCTGGGGGAAACACACCAGCTCCCGCACAGAAATATCCAGAGTCAGTAAAAACATGAAAATCCATGCAGAGGACAGTGTCCATGCTGACACAGTCAGCAACACACATGTAAAGAGGCCTATACATGTAAGGGATGATTGAGCGACATCACTTTTGGATATTTCTATTTTTCAGGAAAATGCTAGCGACTCTGCCTTCAACAAAGAAACATCTGAAATAGATTTCCAAACATGTCTTCAAACACACCTGAGTGAGACACTCCATTGTTCATCAAACTGCTCCTGTTGTTGGGGCCCATTGAAAGTAACCTTCACCCATTAGTTGATGATGAATTCCTTGGAGTTTTTAGGAAGCCCATCTGAATAGACTGGAAACAGAAATCCATAGCTCTTTGTGAATATCTTGAATATTTGTGAAGTCTTGCATCCCTTTTTTAACTCTTGGTCAAAAGAATTTTCACTTTTAATTGTGGCCAAATAAGTTCACACTAATTTGTGAGTTTTGAAAAAGAAGAGTGTAATGTATCAACTTCTGAGAGCTCTCTCAAAAGAGAGAAGAAAATTCCGATCTCCTTTGGCACTCTGACATGGAAAAAGTTAGACAGAGAAAACTTTTCATAAGAAAATGGGTGCAAAAGGAAAAGATATGACACATTAAATATTAAAGTCTCAGGAGAGACAAGTGTCGTCTTGCATTAGACTACGAGTCCTCAGATCCTTTTCTTACTCCAAATGTCTGTGATTTATGGTTTGGGACAGTGAGGGTGATGAAAAACACGCTGGAGTGCAGCCCTCATTAGGAAGCACACAGTTTTATTTGTAATGTGCATTTCCCGTATTTAAAAAAAGCAGTGCCATATTGTAAGTAGGGATAGGGTTTGTTAATTGTTACTTATATTGATGAGTATTCATTGATACCACTATTGATACTTTTCTAATTTTGGGTAGTGATTAGGAAAAAAGTTAAAATTTTACTTTGAAAGGGCTTGAGATCTGTTTTTTTTAAAAGTCATTTTGGGGCATTTTTCCTTGTTGGACGTTGAAAGCTGCACAGAGAGAGAGATGTGGGAGGGAGTGAGGGATGACATGTATGACTTTAGCCTATATACATGGGGTACTTACTCTACCAATTCAGCTTAACCAGCGTCCCTGACATTTGTTATTTTCATGACAGACAACAGGTCAGGTCTCATCTAGATGATATTACTAGTTAAAGAATAGATTTATCTTCCAGACAACCGTGTTCAATCCAGTTTCTCGCCTAAATGTCCTTTTTCTTGACGTTGCAGTTGAACACATCATGATTACGTTTTACTTACCTTTGCAATAACGTCATTTTACCGACCCGAAATGAACACATCATAATGTAACCTTAAATCGCCTAATTTAGTTAGCTAGCTAGCTTTTATCCTGCCGAATTTCAACACAAGATATTAATAATATTAATCCTGTCAGCCAGTTAGTGGCATTTTCTAGAATGTGTTAGCATCAAGCTAGTGAACTAAGATATACTTCCCAGTCCATCAGTGAGACATTTTCCAGCCCCCACTGATTTTCAGACTTCACCTCAAGCATCTGACCAGCACAATTATTGTTTGTGTTGTTGGCCAGCGATTCAGATTTTACAAGACAACTAATGTATGTTTGTGCACCAGTCGTTTGACCTGACTTGACTCAAGATGTAACGTTATGTTGTAGGAACCATGAGATCATCCATCAGCTCAAATTATATGGATTTTCATGTTTTTACATTTTCAAACTGGGTCCTTATTAACAGAACAGGGTCCCTAACAATCCCTATCCTTAATTGTGACACATGTTTATGTGAACTGTTTTCGATGGAACGATTGGTGGAAACTTAATTGGCTCTTTTTTTGTTTCATCAATTGCGCCTACCTTGAAAACTTCACAAATTGTATCAAAACAATGAGGGCAGCAACAACAAAAGTAGAAGACGATGCACAGAGAGAGGAGAGTGAAAGTTCAATGATTTAGAAAGTGAGAGAAACTCAGAGCTGCAACACTTGATATCGTAGTAATAGTCAAACCAAAACAATATCAAAAAACCTGCGTTCTTTATGCTTTTTGGTTAGCTCTCCTCTGTGTCGATGCATATTTCATCAGCTCTCAAGAAAGCGAGGCAGGAGCATATTCTATCACAAAGGCCTCTGAACCCGGTCCCACGTGTATGCCGGACGACACACACAAAGCAGTTCAATTGTCTCAGCACTGGGCTGCAGTGTAACAAGTCCATGCTCAGCATAAGTGCCCTTAGGTGAAAAAGAGGCTACAGAGAAGCGAGAAGACCCTCAATTGTCTCTCCAAGGAGAGGAAGGCTTTTGGAGAGAAACAAACCTGAGAATGTTTTAATCAAAGACATGACAACACAAAGGACAAAGTTTTGCAGACAAGCTCTCACATATTTCTTTGCAGACACATGCTGCATCTTGTCCCGAGCATTCGTTAGCTGAGATTGTTGCTTAAAAACTCCTCCTGATATCCTTTTCAAATCCATTGTGAGGGAATGAATTCTCCATTTTATTTTTTTTTTTTAAGAAATACTACGCTCCTCCCAGCGAGACTACAATGTTTCTGTAAAAGTTTGAGCCTAAATAGAAAGTGTTCCTCCTGTTTGTGGTCACCGAGGACCAGCAGGTAGGACTCTGGGTCCACCTCCTCTTAGTCTCTTAGCCTCTTTCTTTATCCTCACTCAAAGCCCTGTCTTATCCCTGCTCCTGCATTTGTGACCAGACAGAATGTGAGAGAGCAGTTCCTCGGAGATAGCTGCAGGTCTGGAGCCCTCCAAGGACCTTTAACTGCACAGACTCCAAATGTATTCATGAAAACTATGCTCTAAAAGACTTTCAACCAAAAAAACATTTCCAGAGTCACTATGTTTAGCAGAATTCTCAGAATCGAATTGTATTGAAACGTATTATATAGTACCCATCACATCGAATATCATAGTATGATAGTCTCATGCTAGAGCATTACATTCGCAGTAATTTTTGGTCTAAACAAACAGAGTGTGAAATATTAATACTAACTCATCAAGCAACACTGACATTCATTTAGGGACAGTCCGTAAATGCTAAATTTCAGTCCAATATATACTCTTGCATATACTCTGATACTCTAAGCCCACTGGTCAGTCATTCAGTCAACCCCCAAATCATGCAAATTAGAATAGATCAATACACATGATCTAAACATGTATGTTATATAAAAATTAAATCTCCATATCTCTATAAAGAAATGAGCTAAAGAGACCAAAACTGTGTTTGAACAAGGCTGTAAACATTTTTATTTATGCTGTAAACATGGGCATTTTAATCTGAGACCTAATCCAGATACCTTTGCTTTTACAGCCAGCCTCAAGTGGACACTCTGGGAAACTGCAGTCTTCACATATGACAATGCTGTGAGCAGGAGGCCTCTAATCCAGAGCTGCCTTTATTATAGTCAAAACATGCAGCAACACAGGTCTGGGAAAAGAGGGACTGGGCCTGAAATTGGGATGGGCTTTTATTTGAAGTTTTACGGTATGCCTAAATGAAACAAGTACAGTTTGTGTCCTGTCATTTCAAGAATAAGCTTATATTACAGAAACTAAAAACCATGTGAAAGTTAATCTATCTTTCATATTTTAGGTGTCAATGGTAATTCAAAGTAAGTGGCTGCTCTTTGAGAACCTGTACAATTGATTCATGTTTTTTTAACGGGTCAAAATTAAAGGGGTTAAGAAGAATGGAACCGAACAAACATCTTAGTATTTTAATGCTGAATGCTTCAGATGACATGTGGTTGTACGATCCGTTCGTGTGAAGGAGCTGCCTCTGTTCCCACAACAGCAAAATTATACACTTTGATATACTTTTGATACACTGATATATATTTAAACTTTACAAGAAGAATATATTCAGACAAGGAAGTAAACATTGCACAGTGGTAGCATAGGGTGTGTTTCATAAAAAAACAAAAGGTTACACTTTCATTTTCAAAAAGTAGCACCTGTTTGTACAAAAAAAAATCTGATATGAATCCTCAGCCGAATAAAACAGACGCACAAACGCCTTTCTAGAACACAATACACATTCAATGCTTTTAACTTGATCACTGACTTAAAGTGACTTCTATGTACATATACATATTTTGTACATAATACAGTTACACTCCTTTTGCCCGGTTGTTGATGCAGTGAGCAGGAGTGAAACTGCTCATAAGTCCTCCCTCTGTAATGAAACATCCTGTACACTAGTCCAGCCCTCCTCTCTCAGTATTTTGCAGCACAGGCCGTCATACAAAGCTCTCCTCCATGTTGGAACACAGCAGGAAAGAGTCGACTAGCCGCGGTTTGATCAGCTGCTGGTGGTCTGCTGCTTCGATGCTGTCTGGACACCCTGCTGCCAGCCTCCTCAAGGCAGCCTGGATACACACACACACGCACACACACACACACGTATCAGTACATAATCAAATATCAACTTCATGCTGTACTGCAAGTTGTATAAATACACACCTCACACATTCAAAAAACTGGAGAGAATGATACATCATTATAAGCTGAATAATATATTTCAGTTAACAGGATTACATTTTCTTTAAAGTTTAATTTATTTGCAGAGCTATTGTAAAAAAAAAAAGAAAAAAGGATTGATATTGAGGCTGCCCCAGTTCAAAGATTATTATGTTTTCCAGCTGGGCAGATAGCTGACTAGTCACACATGTACTACTAATAATTTTGTCATCTACATTTATAGTTTTGGGGGGGATTGAAATCCGATGTGTTTCCAAGCTGAAACATTTCTTACTTCTTACACTCTACGGAAGCCCTTAGTGCGCAGGGGCTGGTCCCTTCCTATTTTTCCTTTATAAACAGAGTAAAATAAACTAGATTTGTGGATGCATGTCCTCTTAGGGCTTCCATACTTTGCTATATAGAAAAAAACTTAACAGTATAAAGTTTTAAGATATTTTACAATGCAGGTGCAGAGAAAGCTAGAGCTAACCAGAATGCTAACAGTAGAAGCTGTAACACTTCTCATCATTCTGTGTATGTCAGAAAATCCAGCAAAGAGACTGAACATTTGTTTAAACACTGAATGACATTAACCTTCCCCTCGTTCCTCTAAACTGCAGACGATTAGAAAGGCTCATAAGGTTAGTTATAGCTTGGCTTGTAGCTGCTAACTTGCTAAATAACTAGCTAGGAATGGTTACAGTGAAACAGGTTTTTTTTTTCATTCATTACATTGAAAAACTGTAACTGTCCCTTTAAAGAAATGATTTAAAGTAATTTCTCTGAAAACACAAAGCAAACAGTGCATGTTGGGTGGGATTAGGATATTACCTGTCACTTGTTTGCTTTTAAATAACTTTAACACAGAAATCAACCCAAAGTCAACGGTCTTGACTTGAAACCTTGGTCAAAGCAGACTCCTGAAGTACAAACTACCATGATGTATACGTCCCATATCAAGACACAAAATGTTCTTGCTGCATTGGTAAATATTTCTATTAGTTTTTGTCCTTGTTTTTTGCTTTCATATCTTAAAAATAGACATTGTTCTTCTGGATTTTTCAGGTGAATGTGGCTTATATAACTTATAATGAAAAATATTTTACTAGGATTTAGACAAACACTTGCTATGGTTTTAGCTTTGCAGTGTATATAAACGTAAGTAATACTGTTCTACATTCAGTCCAATCAGAACAGGAGCTGTTCAAAAGAAATTATATGGATATTTTCCCACTGTGTGATTAACTCACTATAATACATGTGGCGTTCTAAACCTTTTCAGCTCGTAAAGCCTACAATATTAACATTATTACAAATGATGTGTGAAAGCTCAGCATCCTTTGAAGGTAAAATTCAACAACTACAAATGCTCTTCTTAACCCTTGGCAGAAAGGATAAAAAAGAATCACATTAATTTGAATAGACTGACGAGTGTGGTTACAGTGAAGAAGAGGGCATTTCTCAGCCCAATTAGGCTCCTCCTGACCATTACAACGCCTCAAAATCCCCTCATCGTTCTCTAAGATGTGGTCTTAATAATTATGATCAGAATGAGAGAATGATAAAAAGGCAGCAGGGATATTATTCATGAGATGTACATATTTAAACATACAACGCTTGAGATGATGTGCACCAGTCAGCTATCATAACATAGCTTAAAGATACAGAGGCTGTGATACATTTTCAATTTTCACATTCTGCCCTGTGGACGTAATTAAATGTGATCTGATGTACACATGTAGGGCTGTATGAAAATGCCCTCCGTGTGGTGTATAAAGCAAGCCCAGCGGAAAATGTATAGTTTATCATGGGCAAAACTGAAGTAGGCAGTTTGAATGTTTGAATTAAATATTTGCATTCAGGACATGGAGCCATGTACACATGTCTGAAGTTCGGCACATGCACAAACCTACCAGGCAAGCAACCAGCACTGAGTCGCTGTTATTTCTCTCAGTAGGGGAGCGACACAGTTCAATAAGACGAGGAACAGCTGAAGAGAGCAGAGGAAAAATTCAGTTATAGGCTTGTCCTTTTCTTAGACATCGTATTAACTAGAGCAGGTGTACACATTAAGAATTGTGAAAAAAAGTGTAACAATGGTTTTTATCAATTTTGAACACACTTTTTTGTACTGTAAAAAGAATCAAACTAAATGCTGTCACATTGTTAAAATCGTTCCATCTCTTGCTTCGGTTACAGAGTTTAAAATGAGTCAATTTCCCTCACGTCAATCCAACTTTGAGGTTTCATAAAGCATTAATGCAGGGCTGCCTCCCATGAGGTTAGGCAATCTGCTGGGGATTCAACATTTGTATATAAAGATGAGAGAGGATTTTCTGTTCAGGGATTGGAAGAGGACCTCTGGCCTGTAAAGTGATCCATAAAATATTTTATCTCGCTAATAATAAGCAAATATTAAAGCTTTAAGAGGATCTAGATTCAGTTAAAGTTGTCAAGTTGCATTTTTATTTTCATTTCATTTTTAATTGCAAATGAAGTACCTCAAGGCTCAATTTTAGGTCCTGTTTTTTTGTAATTATGCTCATAAATAAACTTATCTTATACAGGGACAAATATTTATCGTACATTTTTATTAAAATATCCTTCCAAATGGTTAATGTCTTAAAATAACTAATACTTTCATTTCCTTTTCTTGCATTCTTTGATCATTAAAACCAAAAAAGGGGCTTCTTTGCTATACTTGTTCTAATTGGAAACACCCATTATGTGCTTCGGTTTACACTGTTTCTTTTTACAACTTTTTTTCAGAGATTTTACTGTTTTCAAAAAGGAACTATGATTGTATAATAAATGATAAAATGAAACTATTCTCTCTGGACTCGTTACCTCTTTTAATATCACACATTATAAGTTAAGCGTCTGTAAGTCTACCTCTAAGTTTTATTCATTACAGCACAATGTTCATTTTGGAGCACATCTGTTTTTAGCCGGTTTTTTAAACTTGTAAAATTAGGCCTCTCAAGAAACACATTACAGTAACTGTTAAGGATGCACCAGGCAAATATAAGCTGGTGCAACCATTGGCTGCTGACTTAACATTCACATTCTCCTCTGGAGCTGCAGCATCTCATGTAAAATGAAAAACAGATTGTGCAGCAGGTCATATCTGAGACTTCAGAACAGTAGTCCATAAACTGATGGGTGATTATTGGGACGCTGCATCCACTTTTAATATTAAATCTTTGCTCTCAACAGTTCTACATCTGCCAACAGGAATATGAAGAATAAATTGTGTAAATTCTGTTGTAAGAAAAACTACCTTTTAGTTGGATGGCTGTTTGGGCCACATCAGCGTCTCTGCTCAGACGGGCCAGAGTGACAGCAGATTTCTGCTGAACACGCTCGCAGGCGGCGCCCTCCGATGGACTGGGAGAGGATGGTTTTTCGCCCAGCAGTAGAAGCAGGCGCTCTATTCCTAAAAGACGTAATGAAGTGTATTGATAAGCCCAACAAAAAAAATAAAGTCAAAGTGTCAGAAGGAAGTAGGAACTGAGATAAGGAGACATAAAAAGGGAACAAAGGTGAAGGAAACATCTAAAGTAATATAGTCATTGAAAGACCTCGAAGCAGATTCCACAGGATGTTGATGCTTTTCACTTGACTGCCTGAACTATTGACTCCCAGATGATTCTCTTTTTGAGTTAAAGTGTTTCTGTAAATTGTACTTTGTCTCACTTTGTGTCTCCGTCTGTAACTTTGTGTTTTTTCTGCTGTTAGTCTCGGCAAGGTCTCCCTTGGAAAAGAGGTTCTTAATCTAAATGAGACCGACCGGGTTACATAAAGGTTAAATAAAAAATAATATCAATGATTATAGAAATGAGCTGATGAAGACGGGGAACAGAGAGCAATACATAGATTTTGTCAAATGTAAAATCATATTTTTAAATATTCATTTAAGGAGGCAAGAGAATCCTGTAGAGTTTTATTTTGGGAAACAGATTGACCACGGTGGAGGAGGATGTCTCTGAAAGTGAAGATTTTTACAGATACTGACACAATCTGAGAATCTGTCAGAGTGATCCAGAGCCACACTGACAACACATCTGTGTGTTTTACAATTCATGAATGACAGCAAACAGAAAATAACAGTATTGAAGAACAGAAAAATAAAATAAAAATATCTCCAAAAAAGATGAACATGAAGGATAACAAACAGAATAAGACAAATTAAAAAGTAAATTAGTAAATTAAAATATTTATGATCGGAGGTTGTGGTTTTTTATTTGAGCTCTCCTTGCATAAAATCCCACATATGATTTGATGCTGCCACCTTGTGGATGAAAGAAGGATTACATCGACATTATTATTTTCCTTACAACAGTGTTATGATGTATTTCCTTCATCAATGTTAATGCAAATGTAGCAATTTGATCGATTTCATCGTTTATGTTTAAAATCTGACCCCCTCTGAAACTACTATAATCATGGGCTGCTTACATTATTAAAATAAAATATCCGCAATTTTTCACATGTGTACTTTTTAGGTTGTATTAAAGATTGTTTTGTTCTTTTACTTGTCCATTGGGTGAGGTTTTCATACCTCATAAGTCATTTACAAGTTTCCCTGAACAATCACCTCCAGACCAAGACTGAGTTTGAGTACAACATCACTAACTTTTACATAAAATGTATGAAAAACTTCTATCATTACACTGAATAATGTTGCTATGTGTAAATGTCTGCTTTAAAAAGAGAGAGAAACACGTGTTACCTTGTTCTTGCAGGACTTCAGACGCACACTGCTCTAAGACCGAGAGGTTCGCCAAGATGGTCACCACCTAAGAGAAAAAACATTCAACATCTTTTTTTAAAAAATATAATGAAAACTTAAACACAAATTAGAGGGCTTTTTTCAAAAGAAGTCGGGTTCAAGAAAATATATGTTCTTGTGTTATATAAGTTCCCTAGATTTATATTTAAGTTAATTCAGTATGATTTCTTTTCTTTGGAAACAACACCTGAAGTCTGTGTGTACCTGGTCTTTGGAGTACGGTGTGTCGACTCTCTGGCGGTCTCTGCAGGCCTGCAGCAGGATCTGGATGGCGTTGAGCTGCAGCAGAATCTCACAGGCCATGCTGTCAAAGAAGGTGATGTTGGCCAAGGCTGCGGACGCCAGGAGGAAAACTTCACCACAGGAGGCACTCTCACACAACTCTGAGAGAGAAAGACATCACTGAAAATAAAAGTTTCCTCAATGATGTGACAGAAATAATGCTCGTGACTTATTTATGTTCCTGCTCTCTTATTTCAAACAATGGCCTCTCAGTGTCCCGTCCACTCACTGATGAGCGCCGTGACGATGTCGTGCATGCTCTCCAGGAAGCTGGCGAGGTGCTGAGTGGACGTGTGGTGAGGAGAAGTGATCTGAGCCACGACCGCCGCCGCCTCCGCCCTCGCTGCTTCTACGCTGCTCTCATCGGTCAGGATGTCGGCCAGACACAGGATCCCGTCAACCTGCACATTATATAACACAAAGTTCATGTTAGGCAACATGTTAACAGTGTTAATAATATAAGCTGTTTATCTGTTTTCAATGGGGAGGTAGAGTAGATTTTTTTAGGCTTTTTATTCCTTTATTTAAAGACAGGACAGTGGATAGAGTCAAGACTCCTGGAGAGAGAGAGAGAGAGAGAATGAGAGAGAGGGAGAGAGAGAGAGAGAGAGAGAGAGAGAGGAATGATATGCAGGAAAGGAGCCACAGGTCAGATTCGAACCCGGGCCACCTGCTTGTAGGACCACAGGCCTAGGACCACTCCGTACATGAGGTGCACACACTAACTACTAGCCTACCAGTGCTCCAAGTTTTGTTTATTAACTGTAATATTTCTTAATACCTGATAATAACATGAAATCAGAATTTTTGATATTTAAAGACAACGTGTTACTTTCACCCTATGTGAAGATATGAGAGATGTTCAATCTCTATTTGACTTGTTTTATTCATGCTGCCTTATAGTTTATGTTTTCAGTCATTGTTCTAAATTTCATTTTGACCTCAAATTAAAACTAATGGCAGTGTGAGCAGTAACGTTATCATTTAAGAGTTCAGTCAAAAGTAGCAGCAAACGTGTCAGAGTTTGAGGGTTCTTACAGTTGTCATTTTAATTCTTATCATATTAACTTCAAGGCAAAAAGCACAAACTCGTACCCAAATTGCACCTCTAATCAGAGAAGCTCGCAGCTACATGATAGAGGTTTGATTTAGGATTGAAAATGGCTTCTAATACAGCCAGCTTGGTGGAATTGGGTTTGCAGAGGATTTAAAAATGTTCCTAAAATATCTTTAATCACAAGTGCTTTGAGTCCTTACAGCCGGTTAGATATCATATTAATAACACAGTTAGTGGAGGTGCACATCTCTGTCAGTGTGATCCAGACTCTGCTGAACTCTTTAATGCTTCATCTCCACACAGACAACTGCAGCATCTCTGACTACACAGACAGACGGTGAAGTGTCCGAGGTGTCAGCTTGGCTGGAACTCGCAAGCTTTGCCCGTAAAGCCATCACAATTAAAACACAGCACTCAGATTTAATGGCCACCTCCGGGGAGAATCTGCTGCTCAGAAACTCTGCCGGCTGGCAGGGACCCAGAGCGGGTGCATCATCGGGTACAGAGCGGAGCTCGGACTAAAAGAAGAGCAGGAAGTCTTTTTATGATTAAAGAAAAGTTTAGTCACGGGCATGAGGACAAATTTATTTCACATTTTGATTTTTGTTTTCATGTGAGTGTTTTTGTTTTGGGTTAAGAGATTTCAGGAAATGATGGGAATGTGGGACAGATCTTCAGCCACTTGGGGGCAGTATGGTACAGTTCACAATAACTTCCCCAGCGCTGCTGATCGTGTCTCTGCATGTGTCAGCAACAGAAGTTCTGTTTAAGTCTAGCAGATGTGACCAAGACAAGCATAGCACATTGGAAATCCTCCATGCTATTAATTAAAATTCATCGTCCTGAACTACGGGATGTGTTTTAATCTCAGCTCGTTGTGGAAACCTTCATCGTGTCCCTGTGAAAACCTGATCAATCAGAAAGTAGCTGTTTTACTTTTTACTCACTTTTCAATCAAACTAGCTCTCATTCAGAAATGATTCTATGATATTTTGATCTCCACCCTCATCAGGCATCTCTCCTGCAGACTAAAGTTTTTTGGCTCTCAGTGAGAGTGAGGCGAGCCGTCAGCTCTCAGGCACACACACCTGTCAGTCTCCTCCACTGACGAGCATCAGCGCTCAGCTTCACAGGGCCATCCCTTATTTTTGTCTCTGTGGACGTCAGCAGCAGTGTGGCAGCGCGACCCACTGACGTGGAACAATCAATCCACTCTCCACCAACCCCCCCCCCCATGTCCCTACCTGCCCCCTCCTCCTCCTCCTCCTCTCCTCCTTAAAATAGGATATTCCCCAACTCCTCATTTACCGCACACCGGATGTTTCTCATTCAGGGCCAACGCCAAATAACTTTCTGCAGTTTAAGAGTAATGACAAAGTTTATGATGCCTCACTGGAAGTTCTTCCTTGTTATCTGCCTGTAAGTGACCAGAAACTGAACTCAATGTGTTGTTTCTCTTCTACATTCAGACTTAATGAATACTGACAGACGCAGTGGTTGTGCATTAATAAAGCTGATAAATCATCTCTTTTCCAAAATATGTTATGTTGAGAGCTGAAACTTCATTAACATACGTTAAAACTCCAGAGAAGCATTGATGTGTTTTGTGTACACCTCTTGAGGCTTACTGTACTTCTTCTGCCTGTATGCATGTTTTTTTTTTTTGTTCTATCCAAATGATGGGACCTTTGACAACACAGCCAGACACTTTCTTTGCATGCTCAGTTTCAGGAGCAGGAGTCCAATTTAACCATGCTAAATGCTTTTTTGAAGATAAAGGGTTTTCACTGTCTGAGAAGAGAGGGCCTTGTAGTTTCTCTTGTTTTCTGTGACTATGCATCCAATCCAAAGAGCATCTCAAATCTACGCTGTTTCCAGGAAACGCTTCTTCAAATTCGTTCATTTTTCTATTTCTACCTATCAAACGCTCCTGTGCCCACTCCCTCTCATCTCCATCCTGCTTTCTTTGAGTCCTGAGGGGGGGGGGGGTTCATTGCTGGATGCTGCGGTGGATTACTTACCAAAGATTTGTACTGCAAGGATCACTTCATTTTACATTTTCAATCAAATAAAATGACATTTGGCAGATTTTCAGCCATCTTTGAATCATTATAGTGTGTGTAGTGACTGCAAATGAGCAAAGTTAACTCCCCCTCCATATTGCCTGTAGGGCTCATTTGAACTACATTGTACTTTATTTAATGCCTTCTTCTTGTTAGACTTCCTCTGACAGTCAGATTGGGAGTTTGCTCTGGCTCTCTGCTTATCAGTAGCTTTCGGACAGCTCTCCATTAATGTCCACAGGTCCTGTTTGTGCATGTGCGTAGTTCGGGTGTGTGTGTGAGAAGCATGTCTCTCTATAACAGAGTGTAAAACCACAATTTCCCTCAAGACCAATAAAGCATATAGAAAAATAAACAAGTTTGCACATGACAGCAACAATGTAGGTGTGTGCTTCTCTTTCCACATAAAGATGCTTGTGTTACATTTGGAGGGTTTTCTTTTGGAAGTTCTTTGATCTTCTTCAGTGTGTTTAAATTCAAGTCTACTCCTGTTCAACATGTTGTAATTACATAATGTTCCAATGGGGGATTCGACTAAGCGGTATAGTGTGTATCCACCAATTACCCCCCCCCCCCCCCCGCCTCTCTGCATCACGATCCATCAGTGACAGGTGTGTTTCTTAAGCCTGAGTGCTACCGGTGAGCCGAGCCTGACAGCGTCTCTCTGAGGACAGCGTGCTAATCTGAGGCGGATTTTGGGTTTCCTGTTAAAGAGTTTTCACACTCGGATGATTCACGCCGTCCCAGCTGCTCTGTACATGAACACAGACACAGCTGTGGCTTCGTTACTCGCCACACTCAGGTTATATTTGTCTGTCTGTTGACGCACGACTGACACAGGTGTGTCCGCTGTTTATTTTGGTGGAATTCTCGACAGAGAACAAACAAGGACAAAGAAAGAAGGATGTATCGTTAGCTTCTAATCTCGCCGTTTCCCGTTTGTCATGTACACGCACTAAGACACCAGCACACAGACACGCAGACACACACACATGGGGAGAAGTCTGAATGTTTGACCTCAGTGGTCAGATGTTCAGGTATAATGATCTCATGTCTGTGAATCATGACTCATCCTTCTGTGTATTATTATGTCATCAGAACAAACACAAACAGTGTTACACAATGTACACAGTGCGGTAAATGATACTGCTACAGAGCTGGAAAGTTACCCCGAACAATACATCGCTTTTTTACTGACATTTTCTTTTTTTTGTGTGACATCTTTTTCCTTTCACACCAAACGTTTTATCACACATATCCTGTAGCTAGCCCTGTGATTGTATGGTGAACCGTCCAGGGTGTAACCCCGCCTCTCACTCAATGACAGCTGGGATTGGCTTCAGCCCTCTGCGACCCCCAACGGGAAAAGCGGTAAAGATAATGGATGGATATCCTTCTGGGCTTCTGTAGTAAGCCTCAAGTGGACACTGCAGTCGTTTGCACTTCCACGTTGGGCTTCATTTTTTTACAAAGGCAGGCTGCAGCTTGGTCTTTGGTGAAAATGCTCTCAAACATGTCCATCCTGTAAGCAATAGTCGCCCCAGGAAGAGTAGCAGTGGCCATGTGCCAAGGCTAATGGGGGACCCTAATAAACAATCGACCAAATACAGTCATAAAAGAACAAGAAAGAGCCGGATAACGACAATAACGGTTTGTTGGAAGTAGGTCTTAAGTCGGTAACTACTTTAGCACCATGAGCACAGGCTCAAGAGAGAATCAAGTTTATTTAAAGTACAAGAAGTCAATAATTGTGTTGCTCAAAAAAGAAACAGATCCCCTTTCTTCTTCCAAACCCTTCTGTCTGTTTTGCTGTTGATCCTTCATTCCCTGCTTCTAATGTTGGCACACATTCACCTGTGAAAATAAACCAGTCTCTCAGTCATAACAAGCGGAGTGAGATCACTGAACGTGTCCGACAGCAGAGAGCTCGTGCTGCTGTTAGAGCTACAACTTGAGCTGATCAGAGTAAACAAATAGTGTGTGTGGACCGCAGGGAGCATTACTGAAAGGATGGTGTGCTTATTTAAGATGGTTATCTCACCTTCCCTCTCTGTCTGACTCTCATGAGAACATCTGGATTAGTGAACCACTAATTTGTTTCCCATTTTTAGATTTTTATAGATCGGCTACAAAACTTGAGCTTGCTCCACATCAGATTTTCAAATCGTCATCAATTTTAAAAATGTGAAGGACCACAGATATAAGGACAGTTTCATCCGATTTTTACCATTATAATCCACCGGACATGTGTGTGATCAAACGTGACGTCAGAAGAATAACAAATATGGAGGACGATTGACGCTGTCAGCTGGCTTTGGGGTACGTCTGATATTAGACATTTTAAAGGCACTCGTGTTGTTGCTATGACCCCACAAGCTGGTCTTCTTTTTCAATTTTCCATTTGTTGTTGTTTCATTGTTATGCAGATGATACTCAGCTTTACGTATCAATGAAGCCCGATGGCACCAGTCAGTTCTGTAAACTAGAAACATGCCTTAAGGATGTTAGGACCTGGATGCCAAGAATGTTTTTGCTAATTAACTCAGACAAGACTGAAGTTATTGTGCTAGCCCCTAAAAACCTGAGAGACTTTTTCTAATGATATGACTGCCCCTAATGACATCAGCCTGGCATCTAGCACCACTGTTAGGAATCTAGGAGTTTTATTTTATCAAGATATGTCCTATAACTCTCACATCAAGCAAATTTCAAGGACAGCCTATTTTCACCTTTGTAATATATCTAAGATAAGGCATATCCTGTGCTCTGGTAAGTCTCTAAAGACTCTTCAACTAGTCCAAAACGCTGCAGCTCGTGTACTGACTAGAACTAAGAAAAGATGGACGGCTTGCCTGAACATTTGCCGAAGATTTCTGCCTTTTAATAAGGCAGTTTTTTCTTACCACTGTAACTTTTGCTGCTTTGCTAAAGTGCTCATGATGTTGTAATATAGCAATAAGTAAGGTCTTTTACCTGCTTTTTGTAATAGAGCTGGAAAGTTACCCCGAACAATACGTCGCTTTTTTACTGACATTTTCTTTTTTTTGTGTGACAACTTTTTCCTTTCACACCAAATGTTTTATCACACATATCCTGTAGCTAGCCCTGTGATTGTATGGTGAACCGTCCAGGGTGTAACCCCGCCTCTCACTCAATGACAGCTGGGATTGGCTTCAGCCCTCTGCGACCCCCAACGGGAAAAGCGGTAAAGATAATGGATGGATATCCTTCTGGGCTTCTGTAGTAAGCCTCAAGTGGACACTGCAGTCGTTTGCACTTCCACGTTGGGCTTCATTTTGATTGTCTTCACCTGTGTCATTAGTCTCACCTGTGTTTGATTAACCCTGTGTCTATTTAGGCTGTTCTCGAAACCGCTTACTACATACTACTGTTGAACTTAGTATGCAGTATACTGCATACTGAGTTCAACAGTAGTATGTAGTGTGACTGCCAGTCGTCGGTTATCTTGCAGTATGCTTGGCATGGTTAAACTGGTTTTACTTAGCTGTGAATAATTTGTAGTAATAGAGCAAGCCAAGGACCCTGTAATTGCAGCTGCTTGTCCAGCTGTGGCACATGTGCTGTACAGTCTACAAAGCAGGAAAATCTGAGGTGGTAAGACTTGTAAATATATGAACATGTCATATTTGTTATTGGTTCATAATGTGGCAAGCTATTCAGTCACCAACCACTGACGAGTTCAAACAGCTGCGCTTAGGCATTTTGATCTCTGACCTGGCACTTTGCATTGTGGGAAACAGTACGCAAGGTAGACTGGTCCGATGCATACTGTACAATTTTCCCGAACCAGTATGACATCCTGGTATTTTTGGCATACTGCGGATCTCAGTTGTTCGCATACTGAATACTGCATTTTGGCGAAATCAGTACGTACTAGTAGTAAAGTATGCAGTTTCGAAAACAGCCTTATTAGTCTCTGTGTTTTTTCCCTTCTGTATCAGTTCATTGTAGTTATGTCAGATGTGGTATGTTGTCAGTCTCCCAGTGATTCCTCGTGGCTACCTTATTACATTTTGACTTTTCAAGATGTAAAGTAAGTTTTTGTTTAAAAATACATATTTTTTGGTTCTGCAATTAGGCCCTCCTACTATGTTTTTTTCCCCCCTGAACGTGACAGGATGTACCACAGAATCTGTACATTTCTCCAACTTTCCCATTCTCTACCAAAACTACACAGTGCACCTTTAAACATTTCCTAATATGTGTGTGTGTGTGTGTGTGTATATACATATATATTTAAAAGTCTGTCTGACTCTTTAATTTGACCTGTGGTCAATGAGGCTTACCTTGTCCAGTTGGTTGATGCCCTCCTCCACGCAGCAGATGGAGGCCACAGTCCTCAGAGCGTGTGCATACAGCTCTTTGAAGCGGTCCTGTCTGCAGATCTTAAACAGGGCCACTACAGCTCCTTCCTGAGAGAAGAGAAACAAAGATATTTAATGTTTACAGCCAAAGTACAATGAACATCTGCACCAATGCTGAACTGCAGGAAGTCTGGTCCTCTTGCTCATGAGATTGAGGAAAATTTCAAGCACTCTCTTAGAAAGTTACTGTTTTTGTGTTCTTCGAGGTTCAAATATGTTTAAACTTTAACATCGGGCTATAGACGCCGTGACCTAGGTGAATAGTGCACGGAGAATGAGTTCCATCCCAGCACAAGGTTAGCTTTGGCAGGTGAGATTCTTCATTCTGTCGTATTTAATCACTTTTCTGCAAAGCGAAATCAGGGGCAGACCTTTGGAAAGTTTCTTCTCCTCCATAACATCATTTACATGACTTAATTTCTGATTTGGAGAACTGTAAATTGCTGCGGTCACTTCTGACGTTTTTTTTACTTTGTGAGCTATTTTATGCTAACTGGCAAGTCTCCTCGAGCTCACATTACTCCTGTGAGAGGTAAAAGGTCAAAGTCAATGGTAAATGGACTTGGTGAATGCGCTTTTCTAGTCTTCTGACTCAAAGCGCCTTTACACTACAGGTCACACCTACACATTCACACCCTGATGACAGAGGTTTATATGTAAAGTGACCATCAGCTAATCCATTCATACACCATTGATGAAGCAGCAGGAGCAACTTGGGGTTAGGTGTCTTGCCCAAGGACACATCGGACATGTGGCTCCACATGTAGCTGGGGATCGAACCCCCGACCTTCACGTTGAGAGAAGACCGACTCGACCACTGACCCACAGTTGACCCAAGGTCTCATGAGATCCTTAAAATAGTTTGCAGGTTGAACCGGTTCTTAACTCTGATACCGTGCTATCGCCTCCGCAGACCGATACACTCGGATAGTCACATCACTAACATTCAGATACTGATATTGTAAAAACAGTAGCAGAGTATTTAACCAAATACAATAAGTTTTCCATTCAGACTTTAGAGCAAAATAACAAGAGAAACAGTAGGTATTCATCTATATTAAGGTTTTTGTTTTGTGTACTTGTTTGATGGACGCCTTGGGTGCACTAAGTTCTTTATTTCTGCATCATACCAGAGAACAAAAAGGTTGCCAGCCTGGGAAGGTAAACTTTCAGAGACGTATTTTGAGTACTTCCACAGGCCTAACATTAAGCTTCAGACCTCTAAATTACACACCACACGTCACAATGAGCCCTTGTCTTGAAGCACACATGATTGTGCAGAACGCCGGATCAAATTGCTCCTTGCTGGACTCTCTGCTGTGGGAGCCAAAATGTCCCGCAGAGCCAAGCCAACAGCAGCACGTTGCTTTTAAAGAGTCCAGGAGACCCCGAATGACCGATGGATTTGGCCGGCTTTACTCAGCGAGCCTGCCAACCACAGAACCCATCAAATAGCTCACACAATCCATCACGTCAGATCAGAACAGCCAAAATATACATATTTCATGAATGGAAAAACAACGAGCAGAAAAAAAAGATGATTTGCAATAATAGCTGAGCATTTTCTGGGAGATTATACGAGGGTGTAAACAAACAAAAATAGCTCCTGTATTGGCTCGGTGTCTACACTAAAGCACCTCTCTGACAACAAACACTTGCAGGTATTGAGTTGTGTTCAGCGTGCAGACAGATAGAATTACCTGGAGGAAGACGAGGCCTGTAACTACCAACCATTATCCTAATAAGGCCATTATACCGAGCTGGCATGGTTCATATGCTGTGAAGGCCATGCTGCAGGGGCTTGGAGAGAATAATCATCCTGCCCTCCAGCCTGACCGCTCCGCCCTGATCGCTGCCTACGCAATATTGCTCCAACGTACCTGGAAGAAGAACTGCGAACACTGACGGACAGATTTCAGTAAAACCTCTGAGAGCTCCAAACAGGCTGATCAGAGATGTGTTTGCTTAGTGATGAAGAGGCTGTTGATCCTTTCGTTTTTTCTGTGACGCAAATGTGTGTTAGCCTCCAGAAATGATGTTCAGAGCGAGTCTGTGGAGAATATCGTACGTTATTATTCACTTCTTCCTTTTTTTGTATTATTATATTATTTTCACATTTGTGAGTTTGGAAACTAAAGATGTAGGAACAACACTGCAAAAAATGTTGGTAGCAGCAAAACACTCTAACTTTGAAACCTTTGCATTAAAGGGGCAGTATGTAACTTTTTACATGTATAAATCGTTTTTTTATCTCCCATTAATAAGCGAACGGTTAACTGATGTGAAAAAGTAGATGTTCACTGTCTATCTGTGTTGCCTGTATACATTTTTTCCCCGGGTCGTATTTTCTGCGAAAGCTCCAGGAAGTGACATTTTATGCACGTTCTCAACGTCCTCCTCACTCCGCTCCTCATACAGAGATCAACAGTACAAACTCATCACACACTCCCGGTCTTCACCTGCACAGCCAGAGGCCGCCTTCCACACACTTCTATCCGCCCTAGGAGCTCTCAAAGGTGAACAAATTCATTGCACATTCCTGCTCTCAGCCAGTGCCTGCAGAGACTGTCATTTGTAGGATGGAGAATGAATACAGACACACAGACTCCTTCACAGACTTTCACATGTGTATGACCACTTACCTCCTCTGTAAACATTATGCCGGTAAATATCCAGTGTTTCACGGCCGATGATGATGCTCGTTTGTGTACGTACGAGCATGTATGACGAGCACGCGAGGGAGAGCGAGCGACAGGTTACTGGTGCAGTTCGCTGAACGGCCATGCGGTGTTGCTACAAATGCAGTATTTTTGAAAGTTACATATAGCCCCTTTAACATCTCATTTTCAAATTTTAAACCCCATTTATTCACCATTTGAACCCGCCTGTAAACATGTTATTTCCTGCTGTAAAAACAACAGTTTTTTAATGTTGTGTGGCTGTGACTTCCGGGGCTTTTGGAGCCAGCCTCAAGCCGACATTGATGAACTTCAGGACCTTTTAATGAATCCAAATATTGAACTGATAAAAGCGTATTTTTTAGCATGTTACCAAAGTATTACCAACCTGTTTTACATTTTCACATTAGTTTCCTTGTTATTACCCTTAGATTCCAGTGACATATTACCCAGATACATTGTTATTGTGAGGCCATTAGGTACTTTGGTAATTACATGTTATATACATATAGCTCTTTATTACCCCACTATTAGCATCTTATTAGCGTGATGTAATGTAAAGAGCTTGTGAATTTCATGTACCTGATGAAAGCAGTGAAAAGTGAACTTCAAATTTAAGACAGCTTTTCACTTCACTTTCTTCTTCTGTCTTCCCACCTTAAGATGTCCATTTATTCTATATCATTTAAGCTGTTTCAAAATCCAATGAGAAATAGAAATGGATGAAAAAACTAAAAAACTCCGACATGACTAACAGACAGTTTAATATCAGACAGTGATCACTTTTGTTGGTTCAGTATTTAAAGACGTTCTCCTGCCTCTCCTTTTCACAGATCGTCGGGCTCGTTGCTGCTTCTTCCTCTCTTCCCCATCAAATGACTTGCACTTCTTTTGTTTCCACTGACTTCATCCTCATTCCTTCAGTGAAGCCCACAGAGCACATTTATCCTCACGCTCATGCATCCCGCTGCTCGTCTGCATAAACATAATCATGTGAAACTCGACTACTTGACTAAAAATATCTCTCTGCCCATTTGTTTGTATGTAAGAGCCTATAACAGCGTGTCATTTCTTTCCATCTCACAGTTTTCTGAGCTCGGCGCTCTGGCCGTTTTCATGAGTTGCTGCAGACAGTTTACTCCTTGAATTTGCAAACAAAAAGACTGTTTGTAAAAAAAAGAAAAATCAATCGTTCTCAAGTACCTCATTGAGCTAAGCAATGCTTGTTAACAAAGGGAATAACTGAATTTTCCACCCAAACCGGGACAAAGGTGATGCATTTATTTGAGTCCCTTTCCTCCAATCCTAAAGAAGATATTACTTTTACATCTTCATCTGATCAACTGTATTTCTAAACCTCTTTATGCAATGTTTTCATGCTTCTTACTAGAGCTGAGGTATTGCCACGTCATGCCCTCGATGCATTCAGTGTCAGGAAAACAAGGACACACACACACACACACACACAAACACACACGCTCGAGCATCCTGCCAGCGCGGACTCGTCCAGATCAGTATCCATCATGACAGGAAGGTAAACACGGAGACAGCTAACTCGCTTGTACATCATGACACAGTTGCTCTCTGATATTTCAGCAGCTGTTTGATTTATGAAGTGGCACATGGCTGCGTATTAAAAACTGTCAGCTCGTAGCGTTTCTCTGTTATACGAGCTGCACGTTGGTTCTCACTACTGGGCTTCACTTTTACTCACAAAGTCTGCAGGGAGTGCACCAAAATAAGAAGCTAAATCACCAGAAAACAACAACATGTTTGTCTTTTTACTCCTTTACCTCTACAATATCAATCAATCAATCTTTATTTACATAGCGTCAATTTACACCAAATGTTATCTCGAATCACTTTAAAAAAGTGCAGGTAAAAGACCTCAGGCCCTGTGTCCCACCTAGCGTTTTTTTCTGAGCGCCAGCGTCTTTTTTCAGTTGTTTTCAATGAGTAGAGAGCGTTCACAGCAGAAAGCAACCGCCTGGATAAAAAGCACAGCGCCCAGCGTCTTTTTTTTTACAAGCGGTCTGCTGTTTTTGTGCGGCCGCTCCGGGCGCTCAAGTTGAAAACCTTTCAACTTTTCGGAAAGGCGCTGTTGACGTCACGGGCGCTCTTTTTAAAATGTAAGATATTCCCCGTATTTTAGCCTCCTACGGATCGTGTCTTGTACTCACATCCTCTTTGCTCCATGTCTGATCGGGTTAAAAACTATCTCAAATTTAAAACAAGCAGTAAAAAGTAACTGAGTAGTGTCGGTCATACAGCGGCTGTTGTCAACAAACTGTTGTCACAGAGACTGGACGGACGTGCAGCGCTTTTTCTTCTCAGAGCACAAACGCTTCATGCAAGCACTCCCAAGAACAGAGCCATCAATGTTCTGCCCGGAAAAAGGTGGACACGAGGTCTTACTCGTTTCTATAATACAAAGACCCAACGTTACTCTATCATTAGCACTCTGCAGCATTTAGCTAAGTTACAGTGGTAAGAAAAAAAGTCCTTTTCAGAGGCAGAAACCTTGAGCAGAACCAGACTCATGATGAACAGCCGTCTGCTGAAGCTGCACCAAGCTTGAAATACTCCATCCAAGGATGACCCTGATGAAGGCCACAAGCCGAAACACGTTGGCCTAATTAGTTAATAAAGTTGAGCTTCATACTAGAAGTGTTGCAGGAGCTTTTTGACCTCTCAAGCCTTTCACTCTTCATTGTTAGTTGGTGAAGTTGTGTATGAAAATCCCGCTCTGCTCCTTCAACACACCAGTGAAGGACATGAAGCTTGACTTGTTCAGTGGTGTAAATAAGTGATATTTAAAGTGCTTTTAGATAAATGTGTGAAACTTTTTCTTTTTGCCATCATTATCGGGTCATCAAACTCAGTCACGGCTGTTTTAACTCTCACTGTTTGATTTGTTCTGACCCGCTGTGTGGTTCATTTAGTCGTCACAAATCAGTCACGATGAACTGATCATTCATGCTGTGAGTCTCAGTCACATTTAAGTGCAGCCACAAGCTTAACAAGAGAGAACCTCACATACATTATGAGGCACCTGAGCAGAATTAAACGACAGATTTGTTTTTTTTAAATATGAGTCATTAAGGCAGGTGCGAGGGGAGAGATGTTTGGATGTCAAGCTCAGATTGTGTTCGCTCAAAGAGCACAACGTACACTTTCTCGTGGTTCTCTTTCATTAGACGATTTTTATTTGTCACGCATGCTTTGATTTTAAAACATGAGTCATTATTTAAAGCTGCTATCATTAACGCCTTTTAGTATTTCAAACAACGACTTGTATATCTAAGGAGATGCACGTGTCAGGTTCAGACATTATCATGAGATTGTTACCTACAGAATACCTATAACCAAACTGTGTACTAAGGGTTTTTTTCAGCAGTGGGGAAGTAAGCAGAATCTCACAAGTATGTTTATGTTATGTAAGGACCAGAGGTGGGAAAGAAAAATCGATTCATGTAAAGATCAAGATTCTTATCTTGTGAGATTTTAGATAGATTCATAACTTCCAAAAATCTTTTTTTTTTTTTTTTGGGCTAATCAGTCCCCCATGCTAAGTGCTAATGCTAGCTCTTTAACTCAGTGTGATGCCAAATGGAGCCGCAAGACATTCAGCCAGTCTCACAGATGATGGGAGTAGATCCTGAAGTATGTACTAATTCATAACTAGACTTTGACTCATGACTCATGAATCATGAATCGTTTTGACTTGAGATTCTGAATCGAATCATGACCCCAAGAATCAAAAGCAAATCAAATCTTGAATCACCCAAAGATTCCCAGCCCTCGTTAGGACCAATGAGAAACTACACCTTCTCCACTGGGGGCAAGCTCTGCATGTCATGGAGAGTTGTATGTAAACTGCACTGGGATTGAAAATGTTTTGATGAATTTATGAATACTGAAGGGATCCTAATACAGTAATTTAGTCTATTTTTTTTTTCTCTGTCTAACTGTCTGTTTGTTTTCAATTGCCAAATTGTATACTGTCATGTGGATGTTGCTTGCCTGTATTTAATTATTTTTTAAAAACTACAATATATAAAAATAAAGGGGGTTAATTAATGGAACAGGGGTATTGTAGTGAAGAGCTGTGAGTAGTCAGAAGAGAAGACAGAAATATCACATCTCCCCCCCTGTATTTAAACAACTAAACACTCTTTTATTTTAAACAACAGCACAAGAAAAGCCATCAGTGTACAGAGAGTGATGATGAGTAAAGAGCCAGGTAAACCGCGTTGCTGTAAAGGGTGTGTACTGTAAGTGATGGACAAACTGGTGTTAGCTAATTAATAGAGATTGAACAGGTGGAGGGTGTTTGGTATCGGGTATTCATTAGCCGCTATTGAAAGGCTGGTTTCCTCCACGCTCCTCCTGAGGGAGTTAAATAAGGTGGAGCGGACTGAGAGGCAAAGACGCCTGAGCAACCTGCGTTTGTGCTCAGTCCTAATGAGAGCTGACAGTATTGATCTGACAATCTGGCAGCAAAGGAAGTGTGTGTGTGTGTGTGTGTGTGTGTGTGTGTGTGTGCCATCAGGAAGAGTCTTATCGAGAGTATCCTGGACGCAGACTAATGTCCTACTGAGACTTTCTGTCTGCTCTGTTCTGTCTTATCTCGCGGTGAAGAGCTTTGTAAAGAGATATCTGACGGTCTGACGGTCTACCGCTCCGGAGGATGAACATTTAAAGGTGGAGATGCTCATTAGAGGGAGGGGTCTAGAATAAAAAGGAAAGGGTGGAAGTTTAACATCAAATGAAGCTGCCTCTGCCAAAGACAGGGTGGGAAAAATGGTACGAATATATTAGATCACGCTGCTTACTTGTCGCTGACGTCAGGATTTCTGACATAAGAGGTTTTTTGCACAATTAAATACGTCAGTGGGGGCGGGCTGCTTCTCGGACACATACATTTAAATTGATATTGTTGAAACTCCTTTGAAATATCAAGTCATTAAATCAAGTTAGGTCCCTAAAAAGGATGTGCCGTCTTTCAGGTATTTTAGTTTTCAGCCAAGCGGCCTTCTTCAGATCGTGAAGGTGAATGGAGGTCATGACATTTACAGGGGGTGGGCAAGTTAGGGGTTCAAAAAGAACTGTAAGGACATCCTGAGGTCTCATATACTGTTCATGATGTCTTCACAATATGACCACAGTACCTTGGCGATGATGCTGCAGAGCTGAGGTCCGTCCTGAGTGAGGGACAGCAGGTTGCTGATGGCACTGCCGATGGTGAGAACGTTGTCCGACGACTCGATCTGTTTGATTAAGACCTGCAAGTAAGATAAAGAAAACATTAACATGTAATTAAGAGTGAAAGTGTCAGGGTACTAATGGCCTAGTGGTTAGTTCACACCCCAAACTCTCCAAAAGCAGGCAGCACGAGTTCAAACCCCCCCATGGCTCCTTTGCACTAAGGGTTAATTATATATTACACAACACATGACGGACTGAACACGTACCCGGATCTCATTGGCTAAAGCCATGTCGATCATGTTGCTGAAAGAATCGCTGACGTCGGTCAGGATCTCGTGGATTGCCTCTCTCATGGACTTCAGGAAGTACTCGTCATCAGTGTGAAGGCACCTGTGGGTAAAAGGATTCCACATTAAACTCACTTAAAACTGTTTATTATGATGTATGTGTTTTATTATGTTAAGAGTTTTACCTCTCTGTGATGTTGGTCAGCTCCATACATTTTTCCAGCAGGGATTTCTCGTACTGCAATGAAACAAGACGAGGACATAAATCTGTCATTAAATCAGAAGGAAGAAAGTTAAGAAAATATGTTTTATATTGTATGAAAGTTCATTCTATGCAGAAAAATGTTCTTCTTTGAATTGAGTTGCACTCAGTTTCAATTTAAAAACTCTCCAAAGGTTTATATTAGGGCTGTCAAACAATTCATTAAATTTCAATTGTTAATCACGATTTATTTCATTTTGCTCGCATGTGTGAAATTGCTTTTCAAAATAAAATAGATGACTGATCTGGCACTACTACCACCCGACGTCCATGATGCCCAGCGACTACCATCGGACTGTGTTGTCCCCACAACCACCATCGTCCTCATTCATGCACGTCCTGCTCCGACCTCCACCTCAGCAAGGAATTTGGAGCTATTATATGATTGGGTCTATTTTAGACCTTTTTTTTAACAGCATGAAAAAGTCTGCATTATATTTTAATTGGTGTGTCTTGGGGCCTTATTTTGAAACTTCAGTGCCTGACTTCCTTTGAAGCGTCCTACTCTCAAATAGGATTCTTTAAAAGGACATCAGACTTTCACCTTCTGCATCTCAGGTGGTGTACTCCGCGCGGCGCCGTACTCATGCACCAGTGAGCGCACGTGACAGTTGGCCCTCACGGCGGTGCTGTGGACCCTCTGCCAGCGACCTTTCTCCAGCCGCTGGAACATCTTCCCGAGCTCCGTGCTGACCACAAGCGCTCGACGTAGGAGTGTCTGCAGGTTGTTCCTGGCCACGTGGTCGCCTGCACCGACGCCCGAGGACACGATCAGCTCTCCCTGCTGGGCGTCCTCCTCCACCCCGATGGGTTTGGCCTGGAGGACGCACATACACTCCACCTCCGTCATGTGGCGGAGATCCTCCATCCAGCGCTGGACCGAGTCAACCTGGAGGGACTGCATGCGGGTACTGTGGGAGAAAGAAACCAAACGATAAAGAAAGCCTGACTTTGTTAATTCACTTAAAAGATTATTTAAATCTAACAGCAGCAGAGACCTGAGTAAGTAGATAACCAAGTAAAACAAAATATATGGATTTAAACTTTAAAGGAGCAATCAGTAAGATATATCCTGACTGAAATAAAGTGACCTTACTGTATGATCAGATATGAAGGAAACATGCTATGTTGAAGCGTTGGCTTCTCTGACAACAATGCAGCAGCCAGTATGTCCTCCTTCTAACTTTAGATTCTGGTCCTGAATGATCTGGATTTGTTTGGACCAGAGAAGGTAGGCGGTTTTAAGGCACCCCCACACGGCCGTTATGGACACCCCTCGGTTTTCCAGATATGAGAGCAGTTGTCAGTTCAAACCAACAGGTGTTAAAAAACTTTTTAAGGCCAAAGCAGTGCTGGCTAAACACTGAAGCTTCAGTGTCCAGGACATGGTAACCTGCGTGCACATCGACTGCAGTCAAGACCACACTAACTGAGACCAAGACATACCAGAGACAGACCAGAGTGCTCTGAGAGCGAGGCAAGACCACATTCTTCTTAAAATGTTGTGTACTTAAAGTAAACATTGTAATGTTCCTGCAGAATGGAGGACCACTTTATCAACATGCTAAACTGAGCAAACAACCCCCCTTCCCCCCCAGACTCCAATCTCCCGTAGGATTGACCCTCTAATGAACACAGACTTAAGGGGGAAATCTAGAGTTCAGCAACTTGTTAGTGAAAGCTCCCTAAAAGAGGAGCCGTCAATAGACACAGACTCCTTTGAGTCCACACGTGGGAGAGGGTCTCTAATGAAGCTGGATATTTCCCTCCTGGATTTTCTTGTATTGTTTTTTAACAAGATGGCAGCACACTGGAGCAATAGGATATTGCTTTGGGATTATATATTGTTTTTTCTGATTTAAGAGAGGCTTTAAGGTTATGTGTACACTCCAAACAAAGAAAGATTTAGAAATTGACCAGCAACAGCGAACTTCATCACGTAAACATCTTGAAGGAAGGTGTTTGAATCATTAGAAAACCACGACTCCAATTTTTTTTATCCACTATCAAACCACGAGGAGGGGAGCTGTTTACTGAAAAGAATCAATGTGGAGCTTTTGTGAAGGTCAGAGAAAGGTCTCATTAAGACATGACAAAGAAAAAAAATACAGCAAGCCAACAAGTAATGCCTCTAAACTGATCCCCACACAGATATCCTTACACAAAATAAAACACAAAAAGGGAAAAAGACAGCATGGAAAATCAATTAACGGTGTGTTTTTTCTGGGTGCAAGAACTTGAAACCCAGAAGAACACATTTATGTCACATGCCTTGAAGCTTTCTTCAGCTGTAACTTTTATCATATCGAAGACTCATTTGTCAAAACGTGCAAAATGCAAAGAAATCAGTCATCAAATCGAATAACTTAAACTTTTTTTTCCTCATTGCCTGCCTCTCTGCCTGCTCTTCTTCCCTTGCTTCAACCTCTTTCTGCGTTTTAGCCTCCCTCTTTTGCCACATGGGAGATACAATTGGTGCTAAATGTGCTTTGTGACAGAAGGCAGCGCGGAGGCTACTGATGATGATCCAAAAGTTTGAACTAGCTAAAATCGTTTTGTCAAAACACACCTTTTCCTGAAACAGAAAGTTGTGTATTAGAGAGCCCGGATACACACACTCACTCAGACTCACACATTGTACATGTACATAAATATGTAAATAAATTGTTGATCGTCTGTCAGACAAGGAGGTGGAATAAAAATTCAGAAGTATTCAAATCTGTAGGTAGCAGAGCGTGGAGGCTCACTGTTTAAAACCTGCTCCAGCAAATAAATCGCCCTCAATCTGGGAAAAGGATGAAGATGTAATAAGCTCTAAATGTTGAGTTTTAAAATGAATTGCACATTGTCACATTATGTAGCTTTGATTAATATGAAGGTTGTTCTCCTAAGTGGGCTAAATGGCTTTTTACTGATCACTGTGATGTCGTACAAATGGATGAAATATGAGATTGAATTTAAATTGCAATGATTAAAGTAGTTTACATGTCCTGAATGTTCCTAAGAAATAAAATATAATCGAACTTCTCTTTCTCACATTTAAAAACCATCAGTAACAGCGTGCCTTGTTGGGGATTAATCACACAGTTGAGAATAACACAGTGACTCAGATTAAGTGAGTCAAGTGAGCCACGAAGAGCTCGGTCTCTGTCACGGATGAAGAGGATATGAATAGAGCTCTCCATTTTTAATTGGCATTATCTTCTGACACATTTCACCCAATTAAGTCTCGCAAGAAATGTCCAGAAATGTCCGTGATCTTATGCAGCTATCGTGTTTCTTTAAAGTGCAGAAGTGACTGAGTCAGAAAAAACAAACAACCAATTGGATCTAAAAAAAGGTACAGTTGTTCTGCAGCCGTATGCAGAATTCAACCAGATGGGACAATTTCAGACCGTTATCCACAGTTATATAACGACATCATATATGAGGATGAACTGGTTTTGATTTACACGACCATCAAACCACCAAACCTTCCCTTTCACCGCACGGTGGGGGGGGGAGATGATAATAATAGGTTTGTTTTCCAAAGGAGGGGAAGTGGTGCTCTTCAGCTCGCAGGGAATGACAAATATTTACATGCAGGGCCAATAGAAGGTCAGACGCGAGCGGCTCTATTATCGCAGACGGGATCCATGCGGAGATGAAGCACCACGCTTTCAAAGGACGGGATTGACAGGAGACTGAACAACAGCGGCAACAGAAGCACAAGCTGCTTTAGAGAAGAAATACTTTTTGTGAAATTGTTCCAAGGTTTCAGCACGATTATTGTACGGAGTGTGAAAGTGTATTTAAGCTCCTGTGAGGAGTTATTAGCTGCTTGAAAAAAATAAAAACTGAAATGTATTCTTTAGTTTTTATTTGAAGTATCAAAGTAAAAAGAAACAGAAAGGTTGGCATACAAATGTCCTTCAACTTTCCTTATCCGGGTAAAAAATAGCAACACTACGAACGCACAAACGATACTTCGATATGTTGTGTTGCTATTTCCAACCCGGTTAAAGGAAACTAAAAGGACATTTGTGTGCCGACTTTTGTGTCTCTTTTAGTCGTGTTGCGGTCGTGCACCTGGAATCGTGTTTACTGTCGAGTGTGCTCCATTTTTGCTGTTTAAGTATTAAAGTAAACCGAGAGCATCAGAGAGAATATATTTCTATAAAGGTAAATGTCTGTCCCACCTGACTTAAGTAGGAGTCAGAGGTAACTACCAGTACGTTGCAGGAACGACATCCTTTAAAAAAAACCTACATCACCAAAGATTCATTGTGAGTGGTGAGTGGCAGTGACAGCAGACACTCAAACTAAAGACAGAGGACATTTCTCATGAAAAACATATATACAAGACAAAGTCAGCAGAGATTCATCGTCCCACTTTGTCCACAGGGGACACACTCCAAAATCCACACTGAACAAAAAAATCCTCAAAGGAGCTTTATGTAAAGCTCTCTCCTTTTTATGCACCGACCTGTATTAAGATGGACAGAGAAACAGCTGTCTACGAGTGAAGCCAAATATTTAGCGCTCCCCCTGCTGACTAGCTGCAGTAAAGGTCCTCCATGTTAACAGATGGGACATGGGTCAATTTATAAAGTTAAAATAAACATCAATTTAAACCAATTTAAACCCAGATTCTGTCGTTATAGATAGTTGTTATCATGCTGACTTATGTACAAGTGTTTATGTTATGGTCATAGGAGAAAGTGTTATTTAGGTTCACTGTAATACTGACCTGAACTGACGTGTAAATCATGTAAAGGCTGCGTTATTTTTGAAGCAAATCTGTGGTTCTTTTACATAACTGAGAGTTTGATTCGACACAGATGTCAATAAAATAAAACTTCATGTTGTGCAGGAACTTTGGGTGTCACAGACATGAGAGGGAAGACAGAAAATGTTGAGAGATGAGGCGACACATTGTTGGGTTTTTAAATAAATCTGCAACTTTGCTTATAACCCACATAAGGCTGCATTAAGTAAAAACTTTAAAACTGCTCAATTTGAAGAATTGCTTTGTGGTCAAACATGCAGAAATCATGTCCTGAATCTTGCTGCTGAGCTAAAGTCACTGTGAGCTCCCTCTTCCTGTTACACTTCAGGAGAAAATGTCAACTTGAGCTTTTAGATGATTCACTTTTTTGTTGTAACTTTTTATGAGACATGGAGTTGTTCTGCTGGATGAGTCACTGAGAGGTTTCTGCTCAGTAATCGTCCCTCTGATTCAAACCCACATTTATGAAACAGAGAGGTTGGGGACTGCAGAGTCAGTCTGTCTGTGTGTGTGAGAAGTTGTTTTTTACGGTTAAGATTAGGTTTGGTTAAGGGCTATATTTAAGCATTTATGTAATGATCTTCAAAATCAGTTGTATGGGTCAGAGATCAGTGTGCTCCTGGCCTTAAGGGGGAATAACGACAAGTTCAGCCAGACCTTATTTGAAGCAGGTATAGCATAAAGTCAAGATCAGTTTGGTTATGTAGGACAATAATGTAATAAATTTGAGTGTTGCAATCATAGACTATGGTTTAAACCTACACATTTTCCATCACCTGGGTTGAAGCAATGAAACTGTCTCCCTAACATTTTATTTGTCTTTGAACACTTTAAATGCAAGTTCAAGCCAACAACATTTGTTTCTTACCTGCTGGTAAATGCAGTGACTCATCACACAACATCAATATTCAGTTATCCTCCAAAGCAAATGGTATAAATTAGTGCCCAACCGATTCATCGGCCAGCCGATCATATCGGTCAATTTATCGCAGATATACGCCGATATTACTAGATTTATTGACCAGTCAGATAGCATTTAATTTCAGTTTCATTGTCGTAAACTACCAGTTCTCTTTCACCCACAGAGTGTGCGATATGGATAACAACGAGCATCATCACCCTCCAGAGTGTCGAGCAGTGATT